ATGGTAATTAATATTAAAATTATAAATAAGTTATCTGATTTCATTATTTTATTTATTTTTATATTTTCATTATATTTATTTAAAAAAATAATAATTTTAATGAAATTATTCCTTATGAATCTGCTTTTGCTTTATTATAAATATATTAGTAATTATTTAATTTCATATTAAAAGCTAAAAATTTTAGAGATAAATTATTTTTTATTTTTAAAATGTTAAAATATATAAAAAAATAGATATTTTTTATTATTCTTAAATTTTTATTATTTTTATTATTATTATTATTATTATTTTTATTATTATTATTATTATTATTATATTTATTTATTTTTTTCTATTATATATATCTTTTTATTTTTTGTTTTTAACATTTTATTAATTTTTTTATAACATAATATTTTTTTTTTAAATTTATACATATAATATTTTATTTTATTTTATTTTTATTTTTGAAAATAATTTATTTATTCAAATATTTTATTTATTCATTTCAAATCTTAATTTTTAATTTAATTATTTATAAAATATCTTAAAAAATTTCTTAGAGTGTATTTTTTTTCATATTTGATAAAAAAAAAAACATAAAAATAATACATTTATGAATAAATTATTTGGTTTAAGTGGTATTAAAGAAGGTTTTGGTGTTTGGAAAGTTTATAATATGGAGATTTAAAGTCACATAAGAGACAATGGTTGAAGTCTAAATAATAAGATTTTTTAATCGAGCATTGATAGACTGAGCTTTTTTTATTGGAAGATTAGTGAAGATTTACAGGAAAAACAGACAATATATAAAATACAGGCAGGTTTTGTGACTTTTTTCACAAGATTTTTAATGGGTTTAACCATATATAGAGGAGGATATTTTGTAAAGATAGTTTTTTTTGAGAACAGGCATTTTTTGCAGGTTTTTGTGTATAAAATTTTCCTGTTTATTTATTAGAATAATAAAATTCTCAAATTCAATTAAAATTAAGTATTTTTTATTAGTTTTATATCTATTCCAATAATATAATTTCTATTTAATAAAATACCCTTGCATTAATATAAAATTTTGAAAAATACAATTTCTTTTTATAAAAATTACACTTATTTACATTTTAACACTCATTTATCTTAAAAAGCTCGAAATTCAAACTACAGAAACTCTAAATATAAATAATTCTTTATTTATCTGAAAAAAAGCCACTTGGACAAATTAGATCATTATTTTTTATAAAAAAAATTATATAAACACATATGAATACGATCTTATTTAATAAAAAGAGGAATACATTAAACATAATAAATAAATTAGGGGTCCTATACTCAAACTGTAGGCAAAAAAAAATTATCTAACTATATATAAGGTATTTAAAGCCAAAAATATATTCTTTTAACTTAGTTTAGGAAATTAATATAAAATTCTAGCAAAAACGCTTTACCAGTATACATGATATTTCTTTTAATAAAATTACATTATCGGCATAATTTTGGACATACTAAGAATAAAGAATGCTTCACTAGTAAAAATATTGGGAGACTTTCTATATCAGATTTAGTTTATTTGATTGTTTATGTCGATTTATAAGTAGTCGCATAATATACTACCTTAGAGTAAGAAGTCAAACTAATTAATAGGGAAAAGTAAAGATATTTGTGTATTTTTTTAGAAAGTATTGGGGCTTATAGAACCGAATATAAAAAATATTAAACATATTAAAGTTAGTTTTGTGTTTAGACAGGTGTGGATTTTCGAATTTTGCAAAAATTTTATGTTATGAAATTATAAACAATGGATATTAAAATTCTTATAAGATTTAAATTTTTTTAGTATATATTTTGTTTTGTTTAAATATATTTTTTGAAAGATAAAATTATTTAAATTATTAAAACTACTTTTTTTATATATAACTTAACATAAAATAATAAATTTAAATATAAAATATTTTTTTTAAAAAAAAATTCTTGATAGTGTATGAAAAACTTTTATTTTTAAAAAATTATTAGTTTTATTAATAAAAAAGAAGATAAATCAAAATGAATTTAAAATAAGGAAGAATTTATATATGTATATATTAATAAATAATATTATATTTTTTAATTAGTAAAATAATATTTATTTTAATAATGATAAATTAATTAATTAATTAATTAAATATATAAATAAAATATAAAAATATTATAAGAAAATTTAAAATAATGTGTGTTTTATCATTAAAAAAATATAAGTTATAATTTTTGTAATTTAACAAAAAAGCAAATATAATTGTAATTTATATATTTAAAAGTAATTTACTATATAAATATCTAAATGCTTTAATAGTTTTAAAAAAAGAGTAATTATAAAAAAATTAGAGTATATAATAAATAATAAAATTATTTATAAAAATAATATATATTATTAATTTTCTAATATTTATATTTTATATATTTTCAAATAAAATTTTGTAATTAATTTATATATATACTAATATATTTTCTTAAGTAACAATTTTTTTGTTAAAATCTTATATATTAAATTTCTAATTTAATATATTTATATATATGTATTTTTTATTAGTATTTTAAACTTATATAAAGTTTGTTTTTATTATTTTATTGTATAAAAATGTTTTGATAATAAATATAAGGTTATAGTTTTTTTTTAATGTAAAATTATAAAATTATTAATTATAAAACATATGTTTTATAATTATTTTTTTAAAAATTGAATAAAAAAATGAAATACTTATTAATTAAAATGATTATTAATATTAATAAACATTTGAAATTATTTTAATATGCTCATATAATATTAAATAAAAAAGATTTTTAATTATTTATTATAAATTTATTTAAATAGTTTAAAAAAAAATTATAATTTATATTGATATGAGTAAATTAAGAATAATTACGAAATATTATGATTCTAATACAATTTAATATTATTTTATTTAGGTTTGAAATATATAATGAGATATAAATAAAGAGAATAAATGAAAGAAAATTATATACAAATTTTTATAATTTGTGAACATAAAAAAATGAATATTCTTAAATGTAATACTTTAATAAATAATGATATTTATTATAAGTTTATATTATTTTTATAAAATATGAATTAATATTAATGATATATTAATTGTAATTATATTTTTTCATATAAATATTATTTCTTCAAATGAAAATATTTATAAAATAAAATTAAATGTTTCTGTAAAATTTGTAAAATAAAATATATATATTTTTATTTGTGTAACTATTTTAACTTTAGAGTTGATAAAATTTAAGAGAATGTTATTTTTTTAAATAAAATATATAAACAATATTTCATTAATGTAAAATTAGAAAATATAGTTTAAAAATAGTATATTCTATATATAAATTTGATTATATTTAATAAATTATGTAAATTAGAGGTCTATTTAACTTTATAAAAATACTGAGTTTTAAATCAGTCTTTTTTATTTTTGAAAAGGTATAATATAATATTTTAGAAGATGAATATATAATAAAAAATTTTAATATTAAAAAATTTAATTGTTTTTAATAACGTTTTAAAATTATATTTTTAGTTATTTTTAAAACAGTAGAAAACAAAGATATTAATTTTTAAAAACGTTTAAATAAAAGCATTTTTAAAACGAAAAAAAAATAAAAAATAAAAAAAAAATACAAAGAGAAAAAAAAAAAAAAAAACATATAAAAATTAAAAAAAAATATATAAAAAGAAAGAAAAATAAAACAAAATAAATATAAAAAAAATTAAAAATCAAATAATTATAAAAAAATAAATAATAATATACAAAAAAAATGAATTATAAGTTTTTAATAAGTACTATATTGTTAGTATCTTTAATAATAGCAGATTAGGCTACTTCGACAAAAGAAATAATCTAACCAGTTCTTTTATAAGAATCTATGGAAGAAGAAGCAATGAAGTTGTATACCGACCTCGTAGTAGAAAACATGTAATTTAAATACGGTGCAAAACCCAGTGGAATAAGAAGGACCTATGAAAGATTTATTGGTAACCTCGAATTTGGTATATAGGGTTACTTTAAAATAAAAAAACAACCCCGTAATGCAAACGAATGGGCTACAGCTTATGTGTTCAATTCTAATGAAGAACCTTTAGACGGCCAATAATTTGGTGACAGAACTTTAGCTTTATCAATTAAAGGAAACTAATTACATTTCACTACATATGATTTATAGACTAAAAATATTAATTTGAGTACTGATATTTACTTTGATGAAGATGATTACAATAGATGGGCATTCATTTACTTTGGTTATTCCGGTTGTCTTGGAAATGCCTTTGTTTATGTATAATTCGAAAATAAAAAACCTTAGACTTACAAATTTATTGATGTAGTTCATGATGATTCTATTTTCTATACTCTTTTTGTCGGTTAATCCTTCAAATATTAAAACTTTCCTGGTAAAATTAGTTGTTTAACTTTACTTGCTGGTCCTCAAGCTTATAGAGAAAAGGACTTTGATGTAAGTTCTTGTAAAATTAAAGATCCAGTTTCAGGAAGTACTTAAACTAAAACTGATACTGATACTCATACTGATACTCATACTGATACTCATACTGATACTAATACTGATACTGATACAATGACATAAAGAGAAGAAGTTTGCTAATAATTAGTAGATGAAGCCAAATTCAATTATGATAAGAAACCTAGAGGATTAAGATATAAATCAATTAATAAATTTAATAAAGAATAGGAATTCTCATTTTAAGGTTGGTTTAAATTATTGAATGAATATAATAGAAAATTAGTTGCAACTGCAGTCCAAATTAATAGCAATGAAAAACCTAGAGATGCTGAAAATCATGGAGATAGAGTATTGGCATTTTAAGTATTGAAAAACAAATTAATTTTCTCTACTTATGATTTAAATTCTAATAATATCAATATGTCATAAGAAGTAGTTTTTACAGAAAATGAAGTTAATAAATGGTTTTTAGTATATTAGGCTTATTCACCAATGGAAAGAAAAATGTTTGTACATGTATAATTTGTTGGTGAACCTGCTAAAGAACTTGCATGGAATAATGTTAGACATTAGGATTCTAAAGTTTATAGAATTTATGTAGGTTAATCTTTCTCAAGCAAAAACTTCCCTGGTAGAATTAACTCTTTGACATTTTATGCTGGAGTTAATGCTTATTAGGAATTCCCAAAAGATAAAGATTGTGATGAAGATTCTTTCACTGTTCCAACAGTAAGAAAATATATAAAAATTAAAAATGTAAATAAAATAATTTAATAAAAAATAACAGACAGAAACAGGAACTACAATATCAGGAAATACTGCTACAGATACAATAATACCAGAACCACCAAAAACACCCACAGAACCCACTAAACCTACAAAAAAACCAACAGAACCTACTAAACCTACAAAAAACCAA